CAAACAGCAGCACAGTACTGCCTGGATCATGACCACTGCCTTACCGCAGCACACCCGCAACCAGCGTCACCCAAATGGATGTGAGTCCCGCTATCAGAGCAGCTATATGGAGATTAATTACCCTGTTCCGTCACTAATTATGGACAGTAAGTCTCCAGCACTGTCATTCCTGTCATTCCAGCCTCTATCCTCTGCACTCTGAAGACACCTAGCGCATCTTTAGTGTCTTGCCCTGGACTTCCACACAGTGCTAAGCTTGAGCTGCACCTTAAAAATCAGGTTTTTAGAGGAGAAGAGTAAATCTGATTCTTTCCCTTTGGCCCCAGGCTTGAATTTGCTGTCACTAAGCCAATCTTTGGAAAGGGGAGATGGGGAAAAAAAAAAAAAAAAAAAAAGAAGAAAGACAATTTTAATACCCAGTGGCAAAGCCAATGGAGCAGCACGGTTCCAAATTTCAGGGCTTAGGGCTGTAAAGAAATGTATGTACTCTTCAGGTAACAAAACCCAGCATTAGTGGGAACACCTTCCCTCAGTAACGCTTGCTCTCTTCTGAATTTATTGCTTATTTGTCCTGCACGTGGAACTTGTTTTCAAACCCGTGCTGTTACGTTGGAGAGCCCCCACGCAGCGTCACTCCATCCTGCAAACCCTCCGCTAGCGCTGCTTGTGGAGTTGTTGAAACAGCTCCTTTCCGAGCCGAGAGGGAGCTTTGTCACTGACCTCGCCTCCTGAGTGCTGGATTCCTCACGTCTAGGTTCAGGGAGCATTTGCCTTGGGCTGTCCTCTCGGACAGCAGGAAGGGATAGGAGGGAGGTGAGTCATTCATTAACTTTATAAGAATTCCTATGACTTGTGTTCGCCTTCGGAATGTGCATTTGTGACTGATTAATCTTAAGGGAGGCTCTGCGCTGAGGGGAAGATAAAGCCTCTGGAATCTCTCATGCAATAAAATAATCTCGTTTGTTCTTGCTGTAGGACAGAAATTAATTTTGCACAACTCCCTGCGTAGTTTACTAATACATTAACGTGTCACACCCCCCCCCCCATTG